TAAATCAAGAAAGATAGATGATAGATCCCAAAGTTATGTTATATCCCAAATTTTCATTTCACTTGAATGTCAAATTCTTGTATGTAATATAGTTATATGGTTAAACAAAAATATCTATTTCAAAGACTTTATCCATTCATAAACTGTTTACTTAAAAAGACAAAAGTAGAATTAGTAAAATTTCATTTACTTAAAATCCAATACAAATATAAAACCAGGAAGCTGATCAAAAACTGTAATTTTCCTGGGAACATATATGTGTGTGTGTGTGTGTGTGTGTGTGTGTGTATAAGCATACATTATAATAGCTTAACTGATGTAACTTTTATTTAAAGTTCAAAGGGGCATTTTTTTAAAGTTATTTTTTAAAAAATTAATAACTGGTTCCCAAAAGTATCCACCACCACTCCACCCCACCCCCCAGTACTTTCATCTGGTTATTATGACTTCATTAAGATAAGCCCAATACTGAGATATCCAAATCGTACTATACACACTCCAGTAATTAAAAAAAAAATTAAACCACATTACCAACATTTCCCCCTCCCCCTTTCAAGTATCCTTCGCAGAAGAAGCTCTCCCTAGCAAAACACACCATTGCTCCAGGCAGCAGCATGCTGCTATTGGCACTGCCTAAACCAAACAAACAAGATGTTTAACAGTCAAATAAAATGTCCTGCAGCCTCCCTAATGAATTTGTCAAGGACCATCAGATCTCCCCCCCACCCCCACCTTACTCCCTTGCCTCATTAACTCAAGTATGATGAGACGGATTATAACTAGAGAATACAGATCAATTGGTCTGAAGACTTCAAGTGGCTTTTAGCCTTGAGAGTTTCCTTTCTCTCACTTGGTCCTTTTAATAGAATACAGTATCTCCTCCAGAAGGGGCTGCCACTTCGTTTTAATACACCATCAAGGAGCTGCTGATGGACTTCTATACTAACATACATAAAAGCAGAGGTGACAAGGGCTCTTCAATTACAGCCTCCTTGGATACTGTTCCCCCTTCAATTACTCATCTTGGGGAAGAACTGATCCGCAAACACACAGATGAAGCTGCTCTTAATGCTGGGCAGCCGCAAAGGCAAGGGGATGGGGGTGGTAGGCGGCGGGAGTTGCATGGTGCTATTTGCTGGAAGTGTTTAAGTTTATTGCTCAAATGATGTTTCTAATTAGTGCCCGGGCAATAAATTAAAGTCGGCTTTAACTGATTTATTATTTACTAGCACTCCTACCTCAGGATAAATTGGTAATGAATTGTTTTTAAATCAAAACATTTGTAACATTGTATCATCATTCAGCCTCTCCGTAAAAGGAAGGGAAAAAAGCAGGGGAAACTGTAGTGGGCGTTAGAAACGTTTAGGTTGTTTGCCTAAGTAGTTGGGAGAATAAGAAGGTGGATCAGAAGGACAGGATGGTTGCTTGCGTCTATGTGTCTACATAGGATGCCTTCCACTCTATGCTGCTTCCAAAGGCTCAGCTCTCTGCTCTCCGCCATTCCCGAAGAAGCTTGGGGCTCTGGGCACGAAAGATAAAGGGAGGAGGGGAGGACAGAAAAGAGGAAAGGAGTGAGGAGGGAAAACAGAGGAGCTCTCTCCAGAAATCGCTACCAGCCATGCAGTCAGGGTGGAGGTTCCTCTAATCCACTATGGGTATTTGCAAACCATTACTCCCTGGAACAGAGCTTGGTGCCCCGCCTAGGGGAAGAGACACGAAACCTCCAGGGCCTCAGCTGCTTCTCTCCCAGGAACAAAGAGGAAAAGTAGGCCACTACAAACGCGCCTGTAGCCCTGTCATGCTTCTTTTCAGAGTAACTGCTCTCCAGAGAAACCGGGACACAGGACTCTGGGGTCTGGTTTAACAACTTCCCTAAGGAAAGTGGCCTTCTCCGCCCGTTAATAATTCCCAAAGTGCAGGTACGACTGAGAAATGAATAGTCCTGTTACCAGTAACAGGTCAAGGTTTCCCACTGTCGCGCACTAACTTCGAAGTCGCTTCCTTTCCATTAGGTCTGCTTCACTTTTCTCCCAGCCCTCTCAAACTACGCTCGATCCCAGCCTCTGTGGCTCAACCCCGCACAGTGCTGCGCGGTGATGCCTCCTCCAACGATGTGATAAGGCAAAGAGCCCACGCCGGCGTGTGTGATAGTCCCAGAGACCCAAAGTCACCTTGTTCCAACTATCGGAAACGCCCTCCTTCCCCATTGCTCTTCATTGCCAACAACATGCATAAGAATAAATCCCGCCTCCCAAAGTAAGCCTGCTAGTTCTGGACAGAGCTTCTTATGCACTTAAGGGGATGGGGGGGCGGAGAAAAGAGGGTGATGGTAAGTAAACTAGGGGGGCTGCGAGCGACTGCTAGAGACCCTGAAGAAGAGAATGCCAGAACCTTGAGCTCCACTGGTCCCAGTCTAACGCAGAAGGGCTGCTTTCGAAATTCGCTCACAGCTCCAGAATTTAGTTCGAGTCATCAGATTCTTAGTGCTATTCTCTGAACTTTCTAATGCACTACTATTCATCAGCAAGATCAAGTGATGAACCCGCATCAATCCAATGGATTCTTATTCCTGAGGATTCACCCAAGGTCACCTACCTAGATAAAAGTCAGACGCCCCTCCCCCAGCAATCTAACCAAAATAGACCTGTCTGTCCCTGGATGTATAGTTAGTTTTAACGGCAGTGGATCAACGCTCCCGAGGTTTGGTTGTAAGCGTCCACACTTCTAAACAAACTAAAATACCTCTCTCCTCTTCCCCAACTAAAACTACCTAATTACTATATCGAGTGTAGGTTTGAAGAACTACTGCAAAGACTGGAATTTTTTTTAAAGCACATTTTAAAAAACGTTCTAGGATATCAGAATTTTACTTTGCAAAGATGACATAAGAAATGCAAGAGGTTTTATGCAGATTGAATTTTTAAATTGTGCGCTTTTAATTGGTTTCCAAAGTTACCAATAACAGAATATAGTTTTTTATATCAGTAAAGCCTTTAAAGCCAAGTCCATTTTGAAACAAGTTATTTTTACAAATAATAATTAGTTCTACCTAAAAAACTCACTACTATTTAAGACAGCCTCAAATTATTGGGAATTCCAGTATAAGTGTATTTTAAAAAGTTTAACTGGTTTACACTTTAATGCTCTGTGGTACTTCTGTGGTATGATCAAAATATTTACTGAGATCAAGGTATGAAGACAAAAGAATTTTTGTAGTAATTATTCCATAGTAAATAGAACATTTTGCATAAAATTACTTAACAAAATGTCATCAAGTAAAATAAGGTGCTTGGAACTATTCGGCCCAAATCACTTCCTCTGCAGGGTCCTGATTTTAGTTAGATTTATTTTCGGAGTTAAAATCCATACCTAAAATCTTCTTTCCTCCCCAATCCCTAGCTACATTTCTCTGCAGCAATAAGTAGGGGGAACGGAAGACTTTGGGGAAGGAGAAAAGAGATAAAAATAATTGCCCTGTCCCAAAAATTCTACTTCCCCCACCAAACTGATCATATGTAAAAGTGATTTATGTAAAGTGGTTTGCATCTTGTCTTTGCCCGCTGGTAGAAGACAAAAACAAAAGACAAACAAACAAACAAAAAAAAACCCTGTACCTTTCTAAACCTGTTCTATTATTTAGGCCCCCTCCCCACTTTACATTCCAGGCATCTCCAACATAGTTTTTCTTCTTAGCAACTGATGAGGATTTTCCCTTCAACTCCCCCCCCCTCCCCACGCCCATTAGGGGGTAGTGATATGTATGAGCATGGATTCTTTGGAGTCTGCATATGGCTTTACAATCTCCTCTTCTTTCTCTACTTTCCTTGCCCCTTTCTCCATCACGTGAAGTGGTGGCAGCTACCCGGTTCTAACGCGCATATATCCTCTCTAGGATTGGCTGCAGCAGTGACAGCTCGGACTGCGATTGTATGATCTGATGCTCCACCCCCTTCACGATGGCCCTGGGACCATTCATAAACTAAACAACTCCAGCAAACCTCGAGACAGAGAAAGAGAGAGGTTGAGACTCACACACCAGAGTGAGGGGGGGGGGGCGGTGAAGGAGACAGAGACAGCGGAAAAGAGACAGAGATAGAGTCAGAGAGACAGATAGGAGCAAGCAGAAGAGAGGGGCGGGGGGGGGGGGGGAGAGACAGAAAAAGAAGCTCTCTCTGAATGCAACATAAAGGGGGAAGAGAAGAAAAATCCAGGGCCATAACTACACCCCAGATGCAACGCAAACAACAACTTCGTCAAGATAACACAGATTTTGTGAGAGACAAAATTATAAATTACAAAACAGAAATGAATCTCAAACAACTTCCACCCGTTTGTACCTAGAGAAAGACAAGATATCCTTTCAAATCAAACAAATTGGGTCCAGAAAACGCCTCCAGCAGGAAAAGAAAGAAACCACCACAACAACAGAAGCGCTCCAAGAGGCAGAGACAAACACTGAAACCAGCACACCTCCTGTGAACCTCGGATGCTGCCACGGACTGAGTTGCACTTTTCTGCCCAGAGCATTAATTACAGCCTTCTCTTCTGAATTTGGGGGAGGGACAAAACAGAACTCATTCCCTCCCTTCGGGCCTTATTAGACTGAGGACTTCTGGCATCCTTGGAGATAAGTTTTCTAATGAACCATTCATCCTATATCAATATTTAGCTCGCTCTCTTTCTCTCTCCCTTTTTTTTTTTTTTTTTTTTTTGGGTAAGGCTGCACTTAGCACTTAAAAGACTGATGTTTCCAAGTTTGCTGGAGCTGTCTCTTTTATCAACAAGGTTTTTGGCTTAAAATTCAGTACCTTTGGGAAGCCTGGATCCTTTTGCATACCTTTTACTGCCCCCTCAAAAAACTTCATTTTAAAAATCAAAAGAAGTAACAACAACCAAAAGTGTTTCAGGTACTTTTCTTTTCTTTTTTTTTTTTTTTTTTTAAAAAAAGGAGGAGGAGGAAGTACCAGATAAAGAGGTGGAGTGAGAAAGGAAGGGGAGCCAGAGAGAGCAGCCCCACAGCTGGGGTGGAAAAGAGCAGAGTGAAATTGGAGGGGTGGGGGGAGAGTTGGAGTAGCGGGTTGCCTCTTTTGCAAGCCGCAGGGCTACCACCAGTGAGTGAACCTTGGATCCCTCAACGTACTGCGAGACCCCGGTGTATAGCCCGGACCTGTGCCCCAACATGATCGCGGCTCAGGCCAAGCTGGTGTACCAGCTCAATAAATACTACACAGAGCGCTGTCAGGCGCGTAAGGCGGCAATCGCAAAGACGATCCGCGAGGTCTGTAAAGTGGTCTCGGATGTGCTGAAGGAAGTGGAGGTGCAAGAGCCTCGCTTCATCAGCTCCCTGAGTGAGATCGATGCCCGCTACGAAGGGCTGGAAGTTATCTCTCCCACCGAGTTCGAAGTGGTGCTCTACCTCAACCAGATGGGCGTTTTCAACTTCGTGGACGATGGTTCGCTGCCTGGCTGCGCAGTACTCAAGCTGAGTGACGGTCGTAAGCGAAGCATGTCTCTCTGGGTGGAGTTCATCACCGCATCTGGCTACCTCTCAGCGCGCAAGATCCGCTCGCGCTTCCAGACACTGGTAGCGCAGGCAGTAGACAAGTGCAGCTACCGGGACGTGGTGAAAATGATCGCGGACACTAGCGAGGTGAAGTTGCGCATCCGGGAGCGCTATGTGGTGCAGATCACACCGGCGTTCAAGTGCACTGGGATCTGGCCCCGCAGCGCGGCCCAGTGGCCTATGCCCCACATCCCGTGGCCTGGGCCCAATCGGGTGGCAGAGGTCAAGGCCGAAGGATTCAACTTGCTCTCCAAGGAGTGCTACTCCTTGACAGGCAAGCAGAGTTCTGCGGAGAGTGACGCCTGGGTGCTTCAGTTCGGGGAGGCTGAGAACCGACTGTTGATGGGTGGCTGCCGGAACAAGTGCTTATCAGTGCTGAAGACCCTGCGGGACCGTCACCTGGAGCTGCCAGGCCAGCCGCTCAACAACTATCACATGAAAACCTTGCTGCTGTATGAGTGTGAGAAACACCCTCGGGAAACTGATTGGGACGAAGCGTGCCTGGGAGACCGGCTCAACGGCATCCTGCTGCAGCTCATCTCTTGTCTGCAGTGCCGGCGATGCCCCCACTATTTTTTGCCCAACCTCGACCTCTTTCAGGGCAAGCCTCATTCGGCTCTGGAGAGCGCAGCCAAACAGACCTGGAGGTTGGCCAGAGAAATTCTCACCAATCCCAAAAGCCTGGATAAATTATAGAGTGGTGGAGACTACTTAGAAAAACAGCAAGAACAACATACTTCCATCACGCTTCAGAAAAACTAAAACTCCAAAACACAAATGTTATTTAATCACCAAGCAAGAAGAAGGAGAAAAAAAAAAAAAAAACATCCTCACCACCAGATAGACGAACATTTAAAAAACAAACAAATCATCTTGTACGGGAGTGATCTTTCTTCCAAAAAATGTGAATTTAAAAGATCACACAAAAGAAGCAATCGGACTTTGCCACAACAAAACGAAACCCAAGGTACATTTTCAAATCCATGTATAGTAGTCTTTTCCTCCTTTTATCTCCTCTGTTTTGTTTTTTGTTTGCCTGAATGTTGTCACAAAGTGAAAAAAATTATTTAACTATATGTACAAATTACTCTTTTAAAAGTTTTACTGATGTTAAATGTATTTCAGTGCCAACGTCAGATTATGTGCCCTTCTCTCTCTTACACCTCTATCCTCACCCTAAACCCACTTGTTGAAAACAGTAATAAAATATTACTTTAACTTTGCATCGACTTTTGTGGATTGTTTTTAAACAGGGCAGGTGAAATTTCAAATTTAACAATATATCAAATAAAGAAGAGAAGTTTTAAAGCTAAAGAATGCAGAATCAAACCAAAGTCTGATCTTTCACAAATATAGCTATAATCTTGCAGAACTCATCCTGCTAATTTATTTCAGACTTAAGCCTGTGCTTTAAGACAGATAAATATTAATACATGTGAATATACATATATGTATATCTTCAACCTTAATTGGTAAATGTGATTCATTCACATTAAAAATTAATAGATTTGTTTCTTATCCCGCAACTAAAAAACAAACTATTTCAATTTGACTTTGAAATGCAAGGAAACATTTATAGATCTTCTCTGAATTATTAATGCTGTTAGTTGATTTTCTCCCCTATAACCATTTATCCTCTCCAGGCTTTTAAGTAAATAAAACTTAGCAACGTATCAGACAACCATACCAAGAAAGCACAAAAATGGAATAGTTATATTAGTCATATGTCTAAAATAGGAAGATTAAAACTTTTATTTTTTATTCTAGAGGGGAAGAGAAAAAATTTTCTTGAGTCCTTATATTATTATTTATTGAGTATTTAAACTCCAAAACAGCTAACTTTATATTTACAAAATGATTACTGGGTATAGTTTGCTGAAAGTGTTTTGAAGGTGGTTAGAGCAATTAAAATGGAAAATATGAGATATATATTTGATGCATAAGAAAAAAACTTCTATAAGTTTGAAACATAAGAAAATTATTTCAGAGTCTTGGAACATACCTGAAAAAGTGTAGGGGAAATATACTGTTAAATCTTAGGAGAGGTTTATTATATTACCTTCTATCAAAAATCACATTTAAAATGATCATCAAACTGAAAATTTGCTAAAGTGTAATTATGTCAAATATCTTTATTCAGTATTTAAGTTTGTACCTCAAATTTGCAAAGTAACTTAATTCTTAATTTCTAAAAAAAAAGCAAGAAAGTAAAGTAGAACCAAACTTTTTATCTGGACACAAATTAAAAGCCTAAAGCAAAGGATTGGGAATAAGAGTCCACTTTGAGTTCTGAAAAATAGCTCACCTAATAAAAATGGGTTTAGCTTGTAAGGATTACTGTTTCTTGGTTTAAAATAAAACAAAACATACTCCTAGATGAAAAATATCAATTTGTGATCTTATCAGTGCTGATCTCATTTCCACTCTAAGGACATGGTTTGCTTTAAAAACAGAAACCCAGGCTTGCTTTTCTTTGTGATTCAGAGAAATACTGAGAGAAATTTTTAAATTATCAGTTATATATATTCTCATGCAAATACAGTAGTACTCTTAGGGGCACTTTATAAGCCACTTGTAATTAAAATAACTTACATTTATGTAGCACATTAAGGTTCAAAAAATGCTTTCTTCACCATCGATCCTATGAAGTAGGTAAGTGTTTGTAAATAACTAATGACTGCGGAGGAAAAGGAAGCTCCTAGATGAGCTGAAACCTAAAAACTACCAACTTTTTACTTCGTAACTAACTTAATACTACCACCAACACCTAAACCCACCCATTTCTTCCCTTAAGTAGGAAGAAAATTTTTAAGGCTCCATGGTCTTTACATTTTAAAAATTTTCAAAAAAACTAATTTTTAGCTTAGTAAATCTATTCTTTTTACTGTCTCTATCAGTTTAATACAAACCACTGACCTAAGGGAAAAAAAAGTCCTTAATGTAAATCTCTTGACTTCAGTTCTCTAGCTTACCAAAAACAGACATCATCCAGGCCTATGACATCAAAAGTTCAAATAATATTAAACTGGAAAATGATTTTTAAGACAAAAATTCACTCTTATTTCCAGACCCAGGCCTAATCCCTGCTAGACATGTTAGTCAGGTTGAAGTGGTGCAAGGTGGTCTTTGGGGATCCTAAAAGCTGTTCAATCCTTAACAAGCAACAATGAAAGAGAAATTAAATATTGCTGGACAGAATACAACAGAAAAACAGAAAAGTAAAGCTTTTCCCAAAGCTGTGCCAATGACACTAGACATAAGAGGACTCCTGGCCTAAGAAGGGGCCCATTCTAATACCTGTTCACTGACCTGATATTTTAAGCTGATTTGTCAACTGCAATAATTGTAGAACTTAAGTAATTTTTCAAGTTACAAGTCCTTTTACTAGCAATTTTAGCTGTACTTTAACTATACAATGAAGTTCAAAAAGCTAATCAATGCAAAAAAATTGCCTAATTTTATGTCCTTGATTTATAAGAATACATCAGGCTTTCCTTTTCAATATCTCCAAAAATTCAAATTTCAAAAACCGTTCAGTCGAGTGTCAGAGTCAAACTCCTTTCCTAATTCCTTTCTGTCACACAGTCTACCCATTTCCTCTAAATAAAGGCAGTAAGACTGAAACAAAAGGTTGAACTACTGAAGATTTAAATTGATCCGTGTTATAAAAATTTTAATGGCTCTTGCAGGGACTTAAAGCACTTAATTTTTTTAAGATTTAATTAACATAGCACCATAATAAATCCAAAGAACTTTCTCTATCTACACTCCTACCCCTGTCTAAACTCAAGATAAATATTTGTTATAAAAGTTTGCTTTGTTAAAGACTGCCCCACTACTCTTCCAAACACCTTCTTCCTTGGTAGACCTTTTTCTTTTTTTTTTTTTTTAATCTTTTCTAAGAGAAGGTTGCTACTCAGAAATAGAAATTTAACCATTCATCTTTATAAAAATAAATAATTTTAAATCTTCCTCCTAGCTTTATGGCTACTCCCATAGCCTAAATGAGTAGAAGAAAGTTAGGTGGGTCTGAAAAATAATTTTTAAAAACACTAAAATTTTTTTGGTTTCAATTTGGGAAACTACACAACAGTACCTTATAAAATCTATAATATACCATAGGAAACATGTTATTACAAATAAAGCATTTAGAACAGTAAGTCAAAGAGACAAAAAAGTAAGGGCAATATATTGGAATTATATTCAGAAAACATAGAGGCTAGACAAATGATTACAACCTCTTGAACTCTGCAAACTCAGGTTCCCAATGATATCTTTCTATGAGTTGGATCCATGAAATTTCCCATCCTCACCCTAATAGTAAGTCAATTAACACTGGATCTAAGGGGAAATTATTAATATAAATGAACTACACTAAAATAGTCAGTAAGTGAAACTCAAGATTATAAGGGAAAACAGGGCCAGAGTACACCTCAGTGAAAAATCTAAATCAAGTCTTTAAGAATTTGGCTGGGTGCTTCCCATGCCTTTCCTTAGCCTCCCCTATTCCTCACCCCTCCCCCCAAAAATACTCTAAACACTCCAACCACAGGGGAAAAACAGTTATCACCACAGCCAGACGGGACGGCTGTTGGCGGTAACGAGGTAAGACACTGCATGTGTCCCCTTCTTACCTTGGGGTCAATTTTCTTGAAGTTCGGCTCTTCTTCGTCCACTTCAAAATAGAGTTCAGAGGAGGTAATGGAAAGAGTGCCCTTTACCACCACGGAAGGGGCCACAAGTTGGGCTGGTGTGCTCAAGCTAACGGGACCTGTCGGATACAGAAAGAAAACACCAGATGTGTAAGAAACTTGATTTCAAATCTTATTTTTTTTTTCTGATTCTCACCACAACTACCTAGTGTGTCCCCCACCCACATATTCTGCTTGACCCTATCCTCCTCCAACAATGCAAAGACCTCTAGACCCTTGGGCCTATAACAGCTGGTTAATGATCCTGGTAAATTGGTATGCAATTGCTTTGTAGTGAGTATGCAATGCCCATAGTCAGATAGAATTTGATTCTACTATTCGTTCACATTTCACATCAGAAGCAAGCCCCAGGCTGCCAACCAGCAAGTAGCTATTACCCAAGCAGCAACTACGGAAATGGAGAAAACTAAGCAGGCTTCCAAGACGAGGGCTTCAGTTCTCAGATTCTAACTAGGGTTAGATCACAAAAGACCAGCTCTTTGGTGAAGCTGGTAATGTCATCCCTATTAGTGCATTCTCTGCAGTCTGGGTGTGAGCTGTAAAAATCTCATGCTTCATCTTAACTAACCTTCCTGAAAAGAATTATAACAATTCTACTTTAGTATACCTTCCGCTCCACTGTTAAATACTGTTTAGTGGTTCCAAATACAGTATTAATGTAGTTTGGGGATTCAGGGATTAAACAGCTGGAGGGTGGGTTTCCAACTGAATGAATTTTTATTGGAATAATCAAATCTCCACAGGGTTTATCAAAGAGACAAATCAGATTGCTACTGAAAACAATGGAATCACTACAGATCTAACAGTCTACAAGCTATAGACCCAAACCTAAAAAAAGGAGGGAGACACTAAATGTGTGTATATATACACACACACACACAGTAGATTTGCTTACTTTGTATTTTGGGCTTTTTTAAAAAGGGAAAATTAAAAATCTGAAATCAATTTCTGATTGCTCAAATTCTTTGTGGGACAAAAAAGCAGCATGAGAGTGATACTTAAAATTTTGAATTAATACAGTAGTACAGCTACTCAGGCAATCATGAGTGAATAACTGCTCCCAAATTCAGATGAACTGTCATTTCCATCGATTCTTAGAACTGTGATGGTCTTTAATCTAACATCAA